TTTTTTTCCCCCCTTTATTTTTACTTGGTGATCCAACCAGTAAGTAGTTATTTTTCAACATCCAAACTGTCCTGCAGAAGTAGCAGACAGAGGGTTGAGACGAACTATTTACGCTGACAGTGTGCTTACAATGGTCAGCTTATATTCATTCATATAAAACCAAAAGGAAAAATAACTGTTGCTGTAACTGTTAACAGCAGTGGTTCTCAACCTGTGTAACCTCAGGCCCCACATTTGTCCTTAGTCGCAACCCAAGTTGCACCGCGCGTTCTGGTGTGGGTGATTGAACTGTGGCGGGAGGTGCGTTTGGGGGTGCCATTCAAATAAGTGACAATGCAACGCACCTACCACACAAGAACATTTGGTAGATGTGATTGTGTGGTACAGTGCGTTAATTTCACGGGACTGTGATTAACAAACTGTACTAGTGTGATTGGGCCCTCAAAGACACTGACAGACACACACAACCACAGACACAATCTCATATACTCACGGACAGTCTCAAACATGTATACACACTCCCAAAAAAATTGTACTTTTTTTTTTTAAGATCCACCCAGCCCCCATTCCTTACAAGAACTGGAGTGGACCCTCAGCCTGGGGTCCAATGTGGGATGCTCTGCTATGACAGAGCTCCATCCATTGCTTGTACAGCTCCCTTGTGCTTCTTGTAGTGGTGTCGGGAGCCATAATGTGATGTCACTCCAGTCCAGGCACCTCTACAGGGGAGCTGTAAGCAATGCACGTATGGATGGAGTTTCCTCGCGGCCATACCCCCAGCCCACCCCAAGCTGACACTCGACGTTGGGCAGCGTATTTTGAATGGCTGCTCGGCACAAGAACTGACAGTGCTGCGCTAGGTGCAGGGTTAAGGAGCCTCTCACCTAGCGCAGTGGAAGGCACGCAGCAACTCACTGAATACAAGGTTGCGACCAACTTTTTGGTCGCGACCCAACAGTTGAGAAGCACGGGTTTAAAGCATGTTAGGTGCATTTTAGATTCAATATGTTAGTCTAATCCATCTAAATCTGCAAATGCACCTAATATTACCCTCTCCACAGGTTGACAGTGTTGCTGTCCAATGGTGGCTCTGCTGCTCCTCCATAGAGTTTACCCATCCTAAGACATGCGTTACTGGCCAGATAGCCAGATAATAAAAGGAAATAAAATGTATCAAATCCAAAAAAAAGAAAACGAATGCATCCACCACATCTAAGGACTAGTAAGCTGAGATATATTGCATTTTTATTTTTGGGTTTAGATCAACTTTAAGCATTGCTAACACCACAATAGACAGTGGATTTGCTACAGGAGATGGCCAGTGACTGTAGACATGCTATATAGGACGAATTAAGACTGCGGAAATACCACAGGAAACAGTCAAATTGTAGATATGTTGCAGATGGTGATCAGAGACTGGCGACTACATGAGACTGCTATAAATCACTGCCCTTATAGCCCCTTTACAAGTAATTGTCCCCATATATTTGTGCTTCCTACAGTGGCCTTTAAATGACTGTCTCCACATGTTCTTCACAGTAGCAAAAATCATAAAAACTGAAAAGGGTAATAGACAGCACAGAAAAAGTAAGAAAGTGAAGCAACTGTGCAGAACAAAAATAACACATCTGTAAAAAGCTGCACAATTAAGCACAAACCAGTTAACTCAGAAGCCAGCATGTTCATTATTTTTTCTTGACCTGATTAAGTTCTGGTTGTGGCAGTGCAGGTCCTGTGGGACAGTGCATCAGTTCAGGCAGTGCGGGTATTGTTGCACAGTGCATCAGTTCAGGCAGTGTGGGTATTGTTGTACAGTGCATCAGTTCAGGCAGTGCGGGTATTGTTGCACAGTGCATCAGTTCAGGCAGTGTGGGTATTGTTGTACAGTGCATCAGTTCAGGCAGTGCGGGTATTGTTGCACAGTGCATCAGTTAAGGCAATGCAGGTACTGTGGAACAGTGCATCAGTTCAGTAAGTGTGGGTATTGTTGCACAATGACAGCAGTTCAGGCAGTGCAGGTACTGTGGCACTTTGCATAATCTCAAGCAGTGTGGGTACTGTGGCAGATTGCATACGTTCAGGCATTGAGGGTACGGTGGCACTATGCATCATCTCAGGCAATGTGGGTTCTATGGCACATAGCATAAGTCCAGGCATTGCGGGTACTGCGGCTTACTGCATCATTTCAGGCAGTGTTGGTACTCTGGCTTACTGCATAAGTTCAGGCATTGCGGGTACTGTGACACATTGCATATGTTCAGACAGTGTGGGTACTGTGGCACTATGATCAGGAAGTCTGAGTGAGAAAACCTAGATAAGGAAAATATTGACTACTGATTGTCAGGCATGGGATAGTTGAGCAACAGGGGCATGGAGATTTTGTTTTATAATAAATGGGAAGTAAAGACAAACGTAAAAATGGGGTAGTCAGCAGTAGTAAGCCATGAAGATTCATGATAACAAAGGATATGGCATCTAAAAACTGGTCAAAAACAGCTTACTACACAATTGACAAACATAAAAACACAACAAACACAAAAAACAAGTACAAATGATTTGTTGCTATACTAAATAGGACAGAAAGTATATAATTATGGAGAACAATGTAAATGCATGAAGGAATAAAATAATCTTTCCAATTCCTTGCAACTCCATTTTTTAACCTTACATACTGCAAAACGCTGAAACAATTCTATAGATACCTGTCATTGGCTCAAAATACTGCCCTACAAAGACCTCTCAAAGTATTGAATAAGTGTAAATAATCCCAAACTGCCTTGTTGCTGAGAGAATACAGACATTCATTCATTAGTAGGCGAGTACCTTTAGCCTTTAAGAAGAAGCTGCATGATAGACAACCAGATACAATTCTAAATACCAGGCTATAGAACATACCTGTTAGATATACATGGTTGTACAGTAGATATGGTTCTGCTAATCAAGATGGTGATGCTCATCAAAATAATATGGAACTCTAAACTAGCCCAGGAACTATATAGTTCTATATACTATACTTTACATTTACTCGTTCTGTAATTTTCTTTTTCATATTTTTAAATCATGCTCATTGTGTAAGTAATCCCTGATTACGGATGCACCGATACTAGTATCAGTGCCGATACTGAGTATATGGGCAAGTACTGATACCGAAACTTCCAGAACAGAGGTAGATCTCCTCTGACCGGCAGTGCGGCAAGGGAACATGGAGCCAGCTTCCCAGCCAATCAGCATTGAGCCGGCCAAACAACATGGAGCCGGCTACACGCACCCAGAAGTAACAGTACAACGAGTACCAAAAGATAAATATTGGTACACGATACCCAAGAACCGGTATAGGGCATCCCTACCCCTGATAGCTACACAGGTTCTTGTACAGTAACTGGCTTGAGGGCTATTTCTCCATTAGGCAAAGTGGTAAAAATTTTAGAAACATGGTTGCAGCTCAATTTAATGCCAGGAGCACTAACGTTTCAGTGATATATGTGTAGTCTACAATGCATTCCACAGGCAAGATACCCTTAAAAAAGGCCTGAACCATTGAAGCAGTGTCGAAAGAAAGGCAAGCAGAGGGCAAAGGACTAATCACTAGTACTGTGTGTAGACTTAGTGCAGCTGATATTTTCCATATTAATAACAACTTATTATGCCTTGCTCTACACTATGTCTTTGTTTCGGGATAGACATAAAGGCTCTGCTTCCTCATGTCAGAGCTGTCCCTCTGATGACTGATGATCTGATGACTGCTGGGATAATATTCAAAAAGCAGCAGGAGAGGAGTAAGATGCACAGATCCAGAGAATAATTCAAGTAAAAGCAAGAAGGTGCTTGCACTGCAGGTGCTCAGATACAGGTCCCCTCCAGCAAGGAGAACAGCGAGCAGCAAAGAATTGACATCACCAAATTTCTCTCCATAAATAATGAGACTAGACATCAGAGGCAAAATTGTTTTAGGTGATCTAAGCCTGCAGAATTACAGCAATTAGGTTATAGGAGGAATTAAAGAGAAAAGGGTAACTCTTTCAGGGTACTGCTGAGGTACAATTAACATTTACAGATATTCCTTATTACATATAGCAAATCTTCACTTTTTAGATTAAGGTTCACTTTAAATACTTGGGCTGCAAGAAAACAGTACTTATGGCTCTACGAGGAAAAATACAATGTACAGGGAGATATACCCTAGCCATACGCAATGTCTTACTTTCAAAAGGTTTATGGGCCGGGAATTTGTTTGTCATGTGTGGTCAGGTTGGAAAGTAAATAGAAAACACAGGTGGAAGAGAAAGAGCAGGGTAAATTTGGGAGAGCCCTGGACAGGATACCAACAGCGGACTTCAGTGCTGCAAGGGAGAAGTGCTAACCACTAAGACCCCGTTCACATTGAGCGATTTATCGCGCGGTAATTCCCGCGATATCGCGGCAAATTATCGCGCTCCAATGCAATCCAATGGGGCAAAGGGTCCTGCTGTCGCGGGTCGTGTGTCGCTACAGCAGGACCCTTTTTGGAGCGGATTTAGCCGCGACATCGCGCGGCAAATCTCGCGATGTCGCGCAATATGCAAATCGCGCGACAAACGCGCGATATGCATATCGCGCAGTGGGAACGGGGCCTTAGTGTGTACCTTTATATTGAAAGCATGGAAGTCATCATATGTCAGCTTCAGACAGGTTGAGTACAGAGAGGTCTTACCTGGATGACAGTCAGCTCAGATGAGGGCAATAATGCGCAATCCAATTTCAGGGGCTCTCACACTCCATTCTGGATTTGTTTTATATTGCGGAGAATGCAATAGAAAGGATGAACCCAGAGGTGGACAAGCAACATATTTAGGAAGTATGGCAGGAAAATCATGCTGTTAGTGTACCCAAGACACACAAGAAGCCATGCGCTAAATTCGTTCACAAGGCTCCACTTATAACTTACTTATCCCCATAGGGTCAACTGACCTTTTCTTTAATTATTTATTTTTCATGAATACACACCAAAGGAGCATTTGTACCTGCTTTATCCATTCGTACAGTGTCCTCAGTTTTACTTGCGCATTGCAAGCTTCTGCTCTTGCTTCCAATGTCCTTCCTGAACAAGAGAAAAGTTAAAAAGCATATTTAGAATAACATACACGCAAAATAAAAGCAAATTAATTTTATTTTCTCTGGTGCATTTTAAGACATATATCATTTGTACCAGGGTAAACATTTTCTCTTGATTGTAATCAACATAAAGATGAAAAGAACTGTCAGATTCTTGTGTATGTACTTTGGCTAATCTTGTTTAAAAAAAAAAGTCACCAGGCAATCTTCTTTAAAATCTTATTTAAAATATTTCATCATTTTCATAAAGCGGTGGTCAGCATTAAGGCATCAGTCACACTAGCAGCACTTTAATTACTTGTGCAGTGCCTTTAAATAAATGTATTGTTAATGAATGGCACCACTGACATGGCTTAAAGGTTCATGCTTTTATGCACAATGCATTTACCTGCTTTGTAGAAATAAGCAAGTATAAACATTTTGGTAAGTTTTCTCTGTTTAAATGCATGCAGAGGCAAACCAATACATGTGAACCGATGAGGCAAGCTGATGTTACATGATGAAAAATGTAGTCAAATCCAAAAAAACGGAGGTAAAGAAATACTTTTGCTTCGTATTTCAATCTGTTCCTGAGGAAAACGGTTTGTGTATAACTGAAGAGTTAAAGTGACATTAAACCCTCAGATTTTTTAACATAAACCAATACTGTATAATCCATGGTAGTTTCCCTTCTCTTTGCTGCTCTTCCTTTTAAATCCTCATGTCTTCTCATGCTTGGGGAGAACTTCCCTTTGCAGCTGAGTGCCTCTTCCTGTAGTGGTGGCTCAGGTTGCAAACCTACACACAGACACCATGTAGCCATTCCAGAGACAAGGCAGTCTGCTGCAAAACAGAAGTTCTGCCCAGCATGAGAAGAGATACGGATTTAAAAGGAAGAGCAGCAAAGAGAAGGGAAACTACCATGGATTACAGTAAGGCACACATTACAGTATTGGTTTATGTTAAAAAATCTGAGGGTTTAATGTCACTTTAAAGTAAATATGCTTGCAGGGTAAAGCAACAGGTTAGTTTGTCTAGGTCCTGAAAAAAAAGTTTTACTTACCCGAACTGGCAGGCCGATTCCCTGCTTCTCCGGTCACTGCGGCGTGCCTCCTCCTCCGCTGCACAGATATTCCACTTGTGTAGAATGTGATGACACAATGAATCTTAGACTGCTGCAGGAGGCAAAGAGAGGCTGCAGGGACCGGTCTAAGAACAAGCCAGCTCAAATGATCGGGCGAGTATAACTTTTTTAGCACCTCGACTCAAACGAGCAGTTAACCCTTGCAGGGCGGGGGTAGCCCCACTGCAAGATTTAATACATTTTTACCCCGGAGTTTTGCTTTAAAGACTGGTCCCTTAGCAGCACATACTCTAATTTCCTCACTGTTATGTTTAGCACCTGGGAAAGACAGCCCTGTGTCGGCACTATTCAGATCTCCAGTCGGAGCTTGCACAGAGCTGACTGTTTACCTGTCCTAATTGACAGTGCTGAGCCAAGCAACAAATATCATGTAGTGAGGCACAAGTTCTGCAATACTTGCAAGGTATTTTCATCACACCGGCAGATGAATGGAGAAGCAGGGTACAAAGAAAAGGTGAGTATATACTGCTAAGGCTCGGGCTTTAAAGCAAACCCGCTGCTTTCCCATTCATGGGCAAAACACAGGTATTCTTTAAGTTCTGACAGGGGATTGAGATTTCATCCAAATCAGATCTACGGCTAGCTGAAATCTGTAAATATCTGCGGATCTGGAAGACCGGGCACACAATGCATATGAGCTGTAGTAAGAGGACTGCGAGTGTGTAGGCCAAATACTATGTGGATACTTTCCAATATAATGTATATTCTTCTGCACTTTTGAAAAGGAACCACAAACAGAAGACGCTCACTCTCAATACACTATCTCCTGTGCAAGAAAGCAGGTAGCCGATTGTAACTCTGACACAACCAGCTGACCCATTAATTAAATGGTAAATCGTAAAGGGAAACTAAAGCCACCAATTTAACTGTTTTCCAAAAGAAAGCTCAGGTTAAAAATGAATTAAAAGGATTAAAAGTTATTAGATTCTTAATCAAACGTACCAATGTTGCTTTCTGCAGTGTTTTCATTTACATTCTGACTATTAGCACATGCACAGTAGCACATCAAGCCTATAATGAGACAGCCTGATGCGATTGCCTCAGGTAGCATCTCATTAGCTTACCTGGGAGCGTGGGCCTTAGGTGTGCCTGTCACCCCCTTTTCAGCCAGAGGTTTTAGCAACCTGTGATGCTCTGGTCAGTGTCCCGCCCAGTTTACTGAAAACAACGGTCGTCAGGAGCTGAGCGGGACGCTCTGGCTGGAGTCCCGCCCAACTCCTGGCAACCAGTAAAGTCAGTGAACTGGACAGGATATTGCACACAGGTAACATACATCCCATCCCCACCCCGCCCTTTAGTAATGTGGTATTGTGCACCACCAACATCCCCTCCCTCCCGCAGTATTGTACACCTCCGGCATGCCCCCTATAGGCCTCAGGTGATGAAAATTGTAGGGCATGCCCCTGACATCAAGACAATATTACATTCAAGGCATGCCTCTGCTTATATCAGCTCTCAAATGGCTGTTGTCATAGCTGGTCACATGCATCACCATGAAAACAGCAGATCTAAATAGTGGCTAAGACAGCACCATCCTCAGCAAAAAGGAGGGTTTAGTTCCACTTTAACCTAAAGATGACAATCTGTCAATCTTGCGGTGATGAATAAATACATAAATAACACAACACAACTGTCAAGAGGGGATGTATCGAACTTTGGAGAGATTTATCTCTCATTTCTTATTGTGTCTTTAGGATAGGTAGTCAAGAAAAACATCTTGAATAGCACATTGGTAAAAAAAAAAACAACAGCGGTTTTAACCATTCCCTACTCTATCCAGAATGATTTAAAAAGCTTTGGTTTGAGATTTACTTTACATTTATTTCACCTTTTTATCACGTCACGGTGCTCTTACCCACTTCTGCAGATTGTGTTACATTTTAGACATACTGTACATTCAAGAATCAGAATAATATAGGTGGGTGGCATAAGTTATAGAGTGGAACTTGTGTTTTCAAACCCAATTCTACCTTTTTCACAAATCTGATATAGTCGGGGGAATTATCATGCTCCCTATTGTTTATATAGGCTTTTGATATATTCGTGGGATCAATCCATCAGTTGCCTTACAATACAACTTTATTTAGAGTAACTAGTTCTGTTCAGACTAGCTGAGACTATAAGCCTACCAATCTGGATAATAAGCAACACATATTTTATCTCTAAAATTAGTTGACGCGAGTTAGATTTTATAGCACAAATCATTTGTAGAGGGAAAATGTAATGATTCTTGCCACTAGAGGTCTGTCTTGCCAACCAAGTTGAAAGAACATTATTTCAGCAGCCTATGTTCATGGGGTAAAGTTAAGACAAGGTAATTTTAGCCTGAAAAATCCCCCATTGTTTAAAATACCAAACTGTTATCACCTCTCTAATGTTATTTAGTGTATTATTACCTTGCCTCAGTTTGACCAGATGCGAGCAGATATAATTGCAAATACCAACAAGAAGGCATTGCGCTGTAATGAACATTTTTGTTTTCATAGGGTATTATTTGTCTTAATCCTTAAAACCTGCAGTCTAATTCCCCATTACTAATCCCATAAGGAAACATTCTCACACCAAGCCATGTAATACATTCCACTCTTCCCCAAACCTGGGTCTCAGTAGCTTTCCCAGCTCTCCAAATCAAAATCGACCAATATGGGTGTGACCTTACTTCACTCTAGATATAAGAATATGTTTTTTGGAATAAGGCAAAAATGCCACGTTACAGCGATTGTACACAATAAAACATTACAATCAACTGCACCTCTGTAATAGGTTAAACTACCGCTAAGCGTTATGATAAAGGTGTTCAACCATATGAAACACAAAAAGTGGTAGAAAGAAGGTATACAATGCTCAACTGCCCCTCCTGGGGCTGTATGATATACATTCCTACCTACTAAGTTAAAGGAGAACTATGGAGGTGAGTGATTTTCACTCAACCTCATAGTTCGAGCCGACGTGTGACAATGAAACTGTCACACGTCGGCTCAATAGATCGGGAAGTGAGCGAACACATACCGTCGCTCGCTCACTTCTCGATCATCTCTCTGCAGAGAGCCGTGGATGTCACTCACGGCTCCCTGCAGGGATTCCCCTCCTCCCCGCTCCGATCCTCCAGCACTGACTGGCTGCAGGAGAAAGCAAGGACAGGAACAGCTTACCATAGCATCTAGGAAACCAGAGGCCAGGGGTGGGAAACAGACCACTAGAGCTACCACCACAACAAACTAGCCCTACCACACCTTATCGGGTTTAGGGCTGTGGAGAGGGGGTGGTTGATGTGGAGATTTGGGTTCACAGACTTATAAGTATATGTTTTAAGTATATTTATGACACTTGAAATACTCTTAAAATAATACTAATGTAATCACTCTAAGGGCTCAGTCACACTAGATGCAGTGCGTCCCGATTTTGGCCGGAACTCACTGCTTCGCATTGCGGCCGGCTCACTTTTTAGTGGGGTAGGATGGGGCGTGGCGGGCCATTCAAGTGAATGGCACCGTAGCCGCAATGCGATCCGCCGCACGGGATTGCAAGGCACATTGTGCCCGTGGTCTGGCACTGTGCAATGCGATCAAAATAGTGCTTGTAGCATTTTGATCGCACCACACAGGTTCCGACCACAGGCACAATATGCCTTGCGATCCCGTGCGGCGGATCGCATTGCGGCCGGAGGGCGTGGCTATGGCGCCATTCACTTGAATGGCCCGCAACGCACCCTCCTACCCCACTAAAAAGTGAGCCGGCCGCAATGCGAGGCAGTGCGAGGCAGTGCGTTCCGGCCAAAATCGGGCCAGAACGCACTGCATCTAGTGTGACTGAGCCCTAAATCATTCAATTTCCTTTTTTTTTTTAGAAAGTGGGGATCTTTGTCCCTTTTCAGAAACTGTATGAGGGCAATTTATGAAAACTGGAGCAGATAGAATCTGGAGCAGTTGCCCATAGCAACCAGTCAGTTTTTAGCTTTCATTTTAAAAGCTGATACTGAACAAACAGAAGAAAGAAGCGTATTGATTACTTTGGGCAACTTCTACAGATTCTGTCTACTCCAGTTTTGATTAATTCCCCCCCCATGTGTTGTATTAGTTATACTGCTAGAGTATTTAGTCATATTTTTTAGTCAACAGCTACAGACCAGGGACATAATAAGATGTTTTAGCGTGGTTCGCATAAAGCAGAAACTACGGGGGAACCACAAACACATACAGTGCACATGATATCCTTTAAAACTACTTTCATCGTGTAATATAAAAAAAAAAAAAAGTTAAACAATAATGTTTGGTGAACTTTACATCTAGGGTAGTGAAAGCACTGGTGTAAAAATATATTTGACCAACGGTACAGTGGGGTTAACGAGATCAAATACATGGAAAAGAGCACAAACAATGCCATAAACTTCAAATAAAACAAATATTTTTTGTATTTTAAAAATGTGATTCTGCAAAGACTTGTAAAGTAAATGGTAGAGACAACATAAGAAAAATGCCGGCTAAAAAGCTGCAATAAATACTACTCTGTACTTCAAAACTAGTAAAAGTAAAGTTTTAAACTTATCTTGTGAAAGCAAGTAGAGCTGCAGCTAACGATTATTTTCAAAATCGATTAGTTAGCCGATTATTAAGTTCGATTAATCGGATAAACTATAAAATAAAGTTTAAAAAATGGCTCCAGTGATGGACTACTAGTTTGTATTGAGGTTGTAGTCCACCACAGGAGCAAGCTTGGAGCGGTGGAAGTAAAAAAGAAAAAAAAAGATCGTGTGGTGTGCAATATAGTGAAATGGAAAGTGTAAAATTATACAGCAATGAATGCAGAATGGCACCGGCTATAGAGGACAACAAATCCCAGCAAAAGTACATAATAGCTGGCGGCATTCTGCATTGTAGGGCTGCAACAACTAATCGACATAATCGATTATAATCGATTATTGAAAAAGTTGTCAACTTTTTCAATCATCGATTAATCGGCTTCCGATTGGTTGGGCCTGTTCACGGCTCCACCCATGCTGCACGCCACACTTCCTCCCCACCTTACGCTCGCCGCTGCCAGGTCCGTCCGCATCCACACGCCGCAATGTCGATTAGTTGTTGCAGCCCTAAAAGCAAGCCAGTATAATACAAAGTATACAGTAACACCAAACAGGTAACAATTAATGAAACGGAAGTATGTACAAACCGGCTTTTCTTACTGTGGAGAAGGCTTGGTGTCTCTGGAGATCTTTGACGGTCTGCTGTAACATTAACATTCTGAACAAGTTGGATTGAGGGGTTATTTGTGGATAAGGAAGTTGAGTCTTCTTCGGAGGTGCAATCGGTACCGAGCCTTGTGTTTTCAGAAATCTTTCCTGTTTTAAAAATAAAAACCTTCAAGTTTGAGCTATGTGCTATTCCTTTCCCTAAAGAGCAGACCAGCAAAGTAGGCACCATCAAATGCCTTCCGATACTTGTTAATGTGTCTACAGCTTCTTGTGGGCAATCAGGGAGCCCCAAAATGTACATTTCATGATACGCCCAACTTTTATCCAACTAGGGGCACCAGCCCAGCCTTGCCAACAGCCCACAGTGGAATATTCAAGCCTCAGCCGACAAAAAAAACATTTATCAATATGAACATTCAGGAGTAGCGATGCACCAAAACTGGTTTTTCAGTACCAAATACGAGTGCCGATACTTATCTTCCGGTACTCACCGATACTGGTACTTCTGGGAGCATGGAGCCGGTTTCCCAGCCAATTAGGAAGTCGGGCTGCGGGTCATTACCCGCCACCCGGCTTCCTGATTAGCCAGCTCAATGCCTACTGGCCGGGAAGCCGGCTACCTGGCCAATCAGGAAGCCGGACGGCAGGTCATTACCCGCCACCCAACTTCCTGATTTGCCAGGAAGCAAGCTTCATGCCGTTTGGCCAGCTCAATGCTGACTGGCCGGGATGCCAGCTACCTGGCCAATCAGGAAGCTGGGGGGCGGGTCGTCACCCAGCTTCCTGATTGCTTGATTGGTGGGGAAGCTGGCTCCATGTTCCCTCACGGCACTGCCGGTCAGAGGAAACTTTCCTCTGACCAGAAGTTCCAGTATCGGCAGTAAGTATCGAAGCATTTGGGCGAGTATGAGTACTTGCCAAAATCCTTAGTGTCTGCACCAATACCGATACTGGTATCGGTATCGGGGTATCCCTATTAAGGAGTAAAGCTAGAAATCACAGAATATGTAAGCAGTAGCCCCTCAGAAAAATAAGATAAAGCCCTCAGTAACCACAATAATGGTAAGGAAAAGGTAATTATGTTATAAAGGAGAACTATGGGACAACCTTTTCTGCCTATAGTTCTCTTCAGGGTCACGGGAGGACGTATACTGTGTCCTCCGGTGACCCAAAACTCAGCATATAGAGGGGAGGGAGGGAATCCCTGAGGGAAGACGTGACTTACAGTCACTGCTCTCTGCAGGAGAGAATCGGAAAGTCAGCGATCAGCGGTATGTGTTCGCTGACTTCCAGATCAATAGAGCTGACCTGTGACTTCATCTTTACCACAGGTCGGCTTGAATTATAGGGATGAGTGTTTTTTACTCACCTCATAATTGACCTTTAAACTTGTTTTGACCTCTCAATATTAACTTTAGACAGTACCTTACTTATTCAATAAAACAGAAGCTGCAGAACACTGCTTTGCTGGACTGCTTTTATTTTAATAGGTTTGGGGATGCCAAGGGTTTATGTCAATAATTCTTGATGATACTAAACAGTGACAAATTGGTAAATTGACCTTAGTGAGCACTGGTTGATTGATTGGCCACTATACTTTGCTGAATATTGTTTTTAATACTATATAGGATATATACCTTATACTGAGCATACAGTGATTCTTATATCTTGAACAAAGTGAGATCTTTTTATTCTGTTCCCCATAAATATTACAGCTTCTCCTTGTTACATAATTCAAATACCATTGACAGGCCTTGCTACCTCCATTCCAATAAAAGGCAAATGTACTGTATGTTCATGTCCTCTGATAAAATATGCCTTTTGGCTTTTTGGGTATGTAAATCTAGCAGGGGAAGGCTTAGGAGCCACTTTTAATACAGCAAGTAGTAGTGAACTTAAAAAAAAAAAATGTAATATTCCCATTTAAACATTGATGGTAGAAGGGTTAGGACTTCTGCTGTATTTTCTTGCTGTCCATGAGCTCACTGGAGAGATCCCCAGACAACAAGAACACGGCAATACAATCTGTCAGAAGGTCTAACCCTTTTCCACATTGGATGAAGTTACGGTAGAAACAAAACTTGTTTTTGAAGCAGCATCCATTGGGGATGTCATGTTAATCTTTGACTACTTCCTGAGTTACTGACTTGAATAAGCATTATCTGGTGTTGGTGCACCTCATATGCTTGTTCCAAGTCAGTGGCTCACTGCTGAAGAAAGAATCAGACTGACAACTTTCATATCTGTATCCTACAGGTTTTCTTTGAAAAAGGATTTAGAACACAAGCCTATATATTAGAATAAACTTGTGATCACTTTAAAATAACCACTATGAATGAGAGGCGTCCTCACCTGCTTGGATGGGGAGAAGGAAAACTACTGTTGGGATGGGTAGAAGGAAAACTATATGGATCGTGTGTATGTTTTCTTATTGTCAGGATTGTAGCATTAGTGCCTCAATGGGCTTATGCCTTGTACTAATGCTGGCCATAGATTACTTGAATTTAATCTGTTGATCAATTGATTCCTCCATCTACACCAGTGGTCTCAAAGTACCGGCTCGCGGGCCAACTCCGGCCCGCGAGTCGGTACTATGTGGCCCGCAGCCAGCTCATAAGTCAGGTATGCAGTCACGGACCGCGTACCTGACTTGCGGGAGCAGCTACACTGTCTGCATCTCTACTCTGACGTTTACAAGCGACAGCTGTCACCCATTCAAGTTAATGATCAGATGACAGCAGCTGCATGTAAACGACTGCACACCGCATGTAATGATACGTGTTATAGTTACATGAGGTTAGGAATCAATCACTCTCCCTGGACGCATCGATTGTGCATCCAGGGAGAGCGTTTTCTAACTGCATGTAATAATATCACTTATTACATGCGGTGTGCAGGCTTTCCATGTAGCGGCTGTCACCTGATCATTAACTTGAATGGGTTAATCCCTAATTGCACCTAAATTTACAGATATTAACGGGGCCTTATTCTGTGTGTATTGGGGTCCGTTGTACCATACCGGATATAGTTACATTTTATTTTAAAGTATGAAATTTGGCAAGCAGCCCCCATGAAAGAAAAAAATGTGTCGAGTGGCTCCCGGGTGAATTAAGTTTAAGACCTCTGATCTACACCAACATCTTGAATGGAGAATTCTTCGCTGCTATCTATTATATTCAGGCAATTGCATGACCCCTGGCTGCCTAAATACACAATTTTGCCAATAGGATTTTTAAATCGGCTTTTCTTGAGCCAGATGGGATTGCAGGGCTACCCATGCCTTGAATTTTGGCCTTATCCTGATGAATCTTAATCTTAGCTGTAAAACGCTAGTTTAAGCGTGCTAAATTCTGCAAGAATTTCAAAACATTTAAAGTGCATATAAAAGGAAAATGTTTTTAACATTTTGGATAGAATAGAGAGTGTTAGACCCTAGACATGTTCTAGTTTTTCACATGCTTCTAACAGCTTTCTAGAAGCCATTAATGGACCCTTCTGCTCTTGTCTGGAAATGTTAAAATGCAGATCTTAATGGGAGTATTGAAAGTAGATTCAATATGCGCTTTCTCTTACCAACAGCTAGCACACCAAGATCCCTTTTGAACACTCCCAAAGTGATGCTGAAGGGTGCTTTAAGGGCTTCAGGAAAGCGGAGTGTAGCTTGTTAAATGCATTGTAAGTGCTTGCTGAATTCTAAACAAAAATTCAATAATGCCCACATTGCAAGGATTAAGTAAGCACTTACAATGCATTTAACAAGCTTCACTCAGCTTTCAACTCTATGCAGCTGCAGGGGTCAAGAAAATATTTGATATATCTGGGTATGGGAGAGCATGAGACAAAATAACTATGTACATACCTTCCACCTGAGGAATTTCAGAGTTAGTCACCAGATTTCCCTGAGATGTAGGTCTAAGCAAGCGTGCACGGGTTACACTGGGCTTCTGTACTGGGCTATATGAAGGTGGCTGAGGAATTGTTGGTACAATATCATCATCTGTGACTGAAGACAGAGGAATCCTTGGTTTCTAGAAAATCAAATAAACAAAATTACTAAATCCTTTATAATACAAAGTCAAACGTACCATTTTATATAAACTCAGATTAACAAGACTACTAATTCATATAAAAAATGTGATCCCATATCCATATTCCAGGTGGAGGCACCATCAGGATTGGAGACTGCTTTGCTGCATCAGGGTCTAGACAGCTTGCTCTTACAGAATCATGAGATTAAATTCGCTCAAGGAATTTCAAAGGAGAATTTTAGGGTGGTGGTCCATCAGCTAAAGCTTAACAGAATTTATTTCTGGTCTTCATAGTAGAATGTTTTAACCCTTTCGCTGCCAAGGACGTACGTCGTACGGAGCTACAAAAGTGCTTCCAGCTGGCCAGCTCAGTACGTCGTACGGACCTGGCATTTACAGTTCTACTATAAGCTGATGGTCGCTTTAGCGACCATCAGCTTATAGTAGAACTGTTCAGCAGACTGTCCCCTTTAAATTAATAGCTGTCATCAGCGGCTAGCGGGGGATCGTTAAATATCAATGATATTTAACGATCCCTCTGTGCAGAGCATCAGACGATCACTCCGGGGTTTGTAAATAACTGGGGAAACATTGTACTATGTGTCCCCAGTTATGAATGAACAGGCTGCGATTTACATCACAGCCTGTTCATTGAAGAATTTATGAATGGGGACTAGCACTCACTACAGAGGCTCCTCCCCATTCAGAAACTAATGATAGTAAAATATTTAGGGCCTGCGCTTTCAGAAAATATATGGTTTGGGGGGTCTTTTACAAACGCTAGCAACGCAGCAGTTGAAAATCAAACCAATAGGAAAAAATTGCAGAAAATTCAAAAATGGCTTGGCCAGCTGATTTGAAAAATGTTCCGGAGGGCTTGGCAGCGAAAGGGTTAAATACCAAGTGTATTAGGAAGGTCTGCAGCTGTAAGAGCTCTAAAAGACCCTATCCCTCAACCGCAGGCTGATCCTCCAACTGCAGGGTAGAACATACTGCATCAATCAGATTATCAAGAATGTCTTGTAAATCGGAGTCATATGGAAATTACTTAAATACACTCTCCTCAAAAAAAGACGGAGGAATCCATCCTGGATGATGCTGAGCATGCTAACAGCCCCATCAAGCAGATTGCTCAATTAATTAAGGTATTCCACCACAAATGGAGTTAGACTGAAGGCTGGGTGATCCACGAAGGGATTCAAAAGCAGTAACAGCAGCAGGAAGGTACTTCCTTTAGGCTGAACCGTGGAAGAAGTGTGTTTAGCGCACTTAGAGACCCTGCATGCAGATTGTTCAACTAATTAAGAGCCAACCAACAAAAATGGAGCTAGACTGAAGACCGTATGATCCACAAAGCAATTTTGAGGCAGAAACAGCAGCTGTAAGGTACGTCCCCTAGACTAAATGGCAAGAGAAGAGTGTTGAGCGTGCACACGCAATATTCCACCCAGCGTGTGATATCAGCCCTCAGTTCCTCAGCCTTAACCATTACTGCTATAAAAAAGTGGTAGTAGGAATTTTAAAATGGTGCCTCACAGAACCAATTGTGAGGTAGTTCCTAGAGCTTCTGCCTAACTATGCAAGTCTTGAGAGACTGGCTTACACCAGAGACTGTGCCACGGCTCTAGACCTGGAGAGTGCTCTGCATCTAAAACAGTACACAGAGGAAAGCACCACAATGCCTCTACTGGCATTGCACAATGCACAGTGCCCAAAGGTCACATTCCAGGTTAGCCTCACCATGTCCAGAGGCCTACTCACTACACCAGAGACTGGGTCACATCAGAGACTGAGCCATGGCTCTGCAACTGGAGAGTACTCTGCGGCTAACAAACACAATACACAAATGTCTGGAAAGCGCCAAAATGCATTGCCCAAAATATCTGATGTGAATCAAAAATAAGAATGAAATGGCTGGTAAAAAATATAGTTAGACTTTATTTCAACAGAGCTGAAGAAAAGGGGTCCAACTTTCTAGGACACGAGCAAAAAAAGTCCCAACCTCCTGAAGATGGCAGTATAACCCACCTGTCTTAGAACTACTAAAGTCCTGTGTCTCCTAATGGGCCATAAAGAAATGTGAATAATGTACATCGCAGACACTCAGAAGTCAACTTTATTTTCCAACTCACACTGAAAAATGTTTGCTGAAATCTGTATGTTAGTAGAATACATACTGTACATGGTAGCTTCTTCTGATTTGTATAAAGGGACGATAAATGTTATCGCATAAGAAGAATGATCTACCAAGGAATATAAGCAATATGTCTGCTAAATGTTATATTATGCCTTGGTACAGCACCAACCTGTGTTTTTGTGCACATCTGACTTAATGATATGGTTAAGAATCATACAGAATGCAAGCACTTATCAACTTACATGTGGTAAAGGACTCAAACGTGTTCCAGACACCGGTCTTGAGTCAGAGGAATCAAAGTTGGTGGCATGTAAGCTAGTGGGGGAAAAAACATAAGAAGTGAAAACAAAAATAGGTGGGGCAAGAAAATATGAGAATGTAAATGCTTCATTGCTTAATTAAAGAGTTTACAGTACCAAAATTATAATCACACCAAGGAACCATCTCCATGTTCTTCTGCTTATCAACCACTGATAGACTTAAAGTACAATTAAACTCTCCTTTTTTATTGCTAGCGAGCAGTAGATATATGCAAAAACATTTAAAAAAATAAAAAAGTTGCCAAAAAGGTAATTACTTACCTCTGTCTCGGCCGCTCGCTCCTGTCTGAAGAGCTGAAGCTTCTCGAGCGGCCATGCAGGATGATGGGGCGGGCACATGCGCAGTAGAGATCTTCAGGGGGGAGAAAAGGAGAGACACAGTGGAGGTGAATGCACACAGCCAGGAGCGTGCATGTCGAACATGGGACCCGAGGAGTCTGCGCTGGATCAGAGACTGGCACCAGCGCTGGAGGGATTGTTGAATACAAGTGGAAGGAAGAAGATGATGATCGGAATAAGAGGCATAATTTACGATAAGTCGTTAAAGCATGGGAGGAGGAAAACATTTGTGGCTTTAATGTCACTTTAAGGACTACCAGTCTACTCAAAGCTGATGCTGACAACAGTGGACCATGTCTGCATTATTTGTGTACAAATGGCCACTTCATCCAAATCCCATATGGCACGGTGACAACGCAGGAGCACGTTTGGGAAACCAGGAGAGAGCAATGGCACCCTATAACAGGAAGTACCTGGGCGTAGTGGTTAGCACTTCTACCTTGCAGCACTGAGGGTCCCTGGTTAAAATCCCAGTCAGGGCACTATCTGCATGGATTTTGTATGTTTTCCTGTGCTTGCCTGGGTTTCCTCCTGGGTCCTCCAGTTTCCTCCTACACTCCACAGACATGCTGGTAGGTTAATTGGCTCCTGTCTAAATTGACCCAATATGTATGCATATCAGATAGGGACCTTAGATTGTAAGCTCTGCGAGGGCAGGGACTGATGTGAATGTGCACTGTGTAAAGCGCTGCGTAAATTGTCGGCACTATATGAATACCTATAAAAAATAAATATATGATAATAGCAGGATCACAAAGTGTTACTTCAATGAATGCCACAGATTTTAAAACATTGAAAAATACTTGACCATTATAAAGCTTATATGACATTTTTAAGATTGTGTTGAATTGTTATTTAAAAAAGGATAACATTGAGAACTATTTCAGACAAGGAATTATTATTATTATACAGGATTTATATAGCGCCAATAGTTTGCACAGCGCTTTACAATATAAGGAAGACATTACAGTCACAATACAATTCAAGACAAGATGGTAAGGAGGGCCCTGCCCCTGAGGGCTTACAATCTAAAAGAGGAGGGGGAAGTGATACATGAGGAGGTAGTTGTGTGGGGATGAATTGTTTGAGAACGTGATGGATGAGTGGTTAGGTTGAGGTGGGATAGCAACCAATTAGATTCAGCCTGCACTGCAATATGACAACTACAAAATGACAATGGTATATTTAGCAGACCAAAGGAGCGAATAGGACAAGTTCATCATTAGGGTACATTACATAAACCAACATGTACATCTTGATCGTTTTCAGAAAGTATTTTACAAATATAATACATTGATTTATTTGAGTCTCTTTTCAGATTAAACAGATACTCTCACGTGGCAAAACAAGAGCATGTGTGAATTCAAGTAATACCACAAATTAGTCAACTGAAACCATATGCTTTTGTGAAATAATAACAGATCTCCAAGATGCTTTCTGTCTGCAGTTGGCATAAGCTTTCAGCATTTGTTCTTTCTGGATATAACCTAAAATCGCTGAGAATTTGTTTTTCTTCAAAAAAAAAAGTGGACCGTGGATGTTAAATGTGATCTCTGCAAATAAAAGTGAAATAACTGCTTGACGTTCCAGCTGTACAGTACGGCATACTGCACACAGGGCCGGATTTCCCACAAGGCCACTGGCATGTATAGCACCCAGGGTCGGATATCCCACAAGGCCACCGAGGCCTGGCCTTGGGGCAGCAGGGAGTAGATGGACAGCACAGCCGTCAGGCGGGTAGTTTTTTGCTACATTTAGCCCTGCTCAGGGGAAGCAGGGCTAAATGTACAGCTGCTCGTTTTGTACAAGTTATATCGGCGCTGTCGCCACGATCACTTGTATGCAGCCTGCAGGTCCGTCCCCCCGGCGCCCCCCTCCATGGTCCCCCTCCACCTCACCTGGCTGCCTCTGTCCCTGCCATTGTTTTCGGGGTCCCCCGCTCTTCTGCCAGACCTGGGATCCACTTCAGAATGGAGAGCGGGGAGCAGAGCTGAGAACGCCCATTCTTTGCTCTGCGTGAACACTGAGACAGGAACGCTGCACTCGCAGCCTTCCCCTCTCTGCTGTCACAGTTCCAGCACAGTACTGTACTAGAAATCCTGTATTGGAGGTGATAGGTTCAATAAAGAGAACCTGTCACCTCCAAATGCTATCACGCTGGGGCTTGCCAGCTCGTGTGTGATAGAAATAAAGTTAAGTGGCAAAAAAAAAAAAAAAATCTATAAAAAAAAAAGTAAAAAAAATTATAAATTACAAATTTTAAAAAAATAAGTAGAAAGAAAAGGAAAGAATAGTTAAAATATAAAAATGCAGTGCTAGAAAAGTAAAAATTATAAAATAAAAAAATTATACAAAATATTAAAGTAAAAGATAATACGATAAATAAAAATGTTAAAAAGTAAAAAAAACATAAAAAAAAATTAAAAAACTATAATAAAGTAATTTTTTTTCTCCGCCATCTGGTTGCCAATGTCCATTGGGAAAGGGGGTTTGGTAGGGAGGGGGGGCGCATTGAGGAACCCAGCCTTGGGGCAACAGAGAGAGTAAATCCGGCCCTGACAGCACCAATGCTCAACCAACACGTATACAGATGTGTACAACAGTTTGCATACCCTGGAAGAAATCGTGACATTTGGTCATTGATCATGCCAAAAAAACTGTTTTATTTAACCACTTCCTGGCCGGAGCAATTTCTTACATTTGCACACACATTATCAAATCTGAATTTTTGGCTAGAAAACAGCTTCAGACCCCCAAACAATGAGATATTTCCTGGAAGGAATAGGAATAGGCCCTGTAGAATTAAACAATGCTAGTTGCAATTTTTTCCGTCGCACAGTATTTGCTCAAATGTTTATGGAACCAGTATTTTTAGGAAAAAGTACACTAAAATGAAATTCAGTGCACAAGAGAATAGAATACCCCATTTTTTGGTAAAATATAAAAGACGGGGTCACACTGGGTAAATAGATACCAAACATGTCAAGCCTTAAAATTGCGTGCGTCCGTGAAACCGCAAAAAACTACAATACCCCAAATTTCCCATAGGCGACGCTTTAAAAGTTTTTATTGCTCATCAGTTTAATTTTACCGGTGATTGATGGCTCTTGTATTATCGTTCTCACTCCGACATTCGCGACAATATGTAACAATTTTTGCACGTTGGTGCATCTGACACGTGTTTGCGTTACATGTGCGTGCAGGTAGGGGGCAGGGGACTTTAAAAAAAAATGTTGGCATTTTTTATATGTTACTTTCATTTTTTTGTTTTGTTTTCACTGAACTTTATTGCTATCACAAAGGGGGCTATGAAATATGTGACAGGTCCTCTTTATCTCCATTCAGACTTTTCAGACCCATGTCACCTAGGAACCCCATAGAAGCTGAGGAAGCAGAGATCTGCTTCCTCAGCTTCTCCTCCTGGATCTAGGAAACAGAGAATGAACACAATGACACTGAAGTGATGTAATACACATCACTTCTGGGTCCAGTGATCGGAGGAGAGATCAGCGGCTGGAAGCCTGCTGATCTCCCTCCGATCAGTCAAGGGAGACACGCCATGCCGGTCCCGCACAGCGGACAGAGGAGCCAGGGGAAGCCAACGGCGGAGGAGGGGGGGCACACAGCATCTCACCGTACAAGCGATCCGACGGCTTGTATTTAAACAATAATTGACTGCTGTTTAAAATTATACCAGAAACACGGCTGCAGTAGGCTAGATACTGAGCCATGGGGAGCAAGAAAAAACTGTCAAAAGACTTGCGTAACAAGGTAATGGAACTTTATAAAGATGGAAAAGGATATAAAAAGATATCCAAAGCCTTGAAAATGCCAGTCAGTACTGTTCAGTCACTTATTAAGAAGTGGAAAATTCGGGGATCTCTTGATACCATGCCAAGGTCAGGTAGACCAAGAAAGATTGCAGCCGCAACTGCAAGAAGAATTGTTCAGGATACAAAGAAAAACCCACAGTAACCTCAGGAGAAATACAGACTGATCTGGAAAAAGACAGTGTGGTTGTTTCAAGGAGCACAATATGACGATACTTGAACAAAAATGAGCTGCATGGTTGAGTTGCCAGAAATAAGCTTTTACTGCGCCAGTGCCTACAATATGCCCGACAACACCTTGACACGCCTCACAGCTTCTGGCACACTGTCATTTGGAGTGACAAGACCAAAATAGAGCTTTATGGTCACAACCATAAGCGCTATGCTTGGCGAGGGGTCAACAAGACCTATAGGGACAAGAATACTATACTCACTGTGAAGCATGGTGGTGGCTCTCTGGTGTTTCTTTGGGTGTCTGAGCTCCAAAGACATGGGGAATCTTGTCATGGCAAGATGAATACAGAATGATATCAGAAAATACTGGCAGACAATTTGCATTCTTCTGCACGAAAGCTGCGCATGGGACTCTCTTGGATCTTCCAGCACGACAATGACCCTAAGCACAAGGCCAATTTGTTCTCCAGTGGTTACAGCAGAAAAAGTGGCCTGACCTTACTACCATCGAGCCACTCTGGGGAGATCTCAAATGTGCGGTTCATGCAAGATGACCAAAGACATTGCATGACCTAGAGGCATTTTGCCAAGGCGAATGGGCAGCTATACCACCTGCAAGACGAATGAGCAGCTATACCACCTGCAAGAAGGC